TATTTATTATTTTTTTTATCTACTTTTAGAAATGTAAATTAAATCTTATTAAACAATATTTTAATATTTTCATTTGAGATTTACTTTTGATAATGTTTCAACAGCATGAAACAAAATGTATAGAGATCAGTTCAAAGACAATTCACACATACATTCTGAATATACTTGGTTGGTGCAGTTATATCAATTTATTAACTGGTTTCATGATTTTCTGATGAGAAATATTATCCCTTTGCTTACATCTGCAGATGTTAATTTTCAAACTTTTTATTTTTTTATTTCTGCAGTTTAACTTAACATTTTGAAGAAACTTAATTCAGTGTTTTATAATCTATATTTCATATATAATTCAATATTTCAGCCTTAAGATCTCATCTATCTACACTGGCTCTTTCATCTTTCAACGTTGACTTTCATTCAAGAAAACAAACATCTTGATCTTTGTTTCCAGTATTTTGAAGCAGAAATAATTCATGACTTTTCATTAAATATTTAAAAAATTTTTCTTCCAATTGAGATTTACAATAGATATTCCAGTTCATCCGCGTTAGCGCGATCACATCCAACATTCGGTTGACTCTAGCAGTCATTTATAATTCGATTATCCAAATTTAATTTTCCACGTAGCGCAAATTAGTGTAGGTAGGTACCCACTTTTAATGTCTGCTCTTTGCATGTGGGGGTGTTTCCATAAGTGTCTTATATCTTTAGTATCCTAACAACATATATTCTTAGTATCCTAACAACGTATATCTTTACTATCTAACAACATATATCTTTAGTATCCTAACAATATATATCCTTACATCATTTCGTCATTTACCCCGGTTTTATTTTTAAAACTTGTCATGCTCCTGGAGTATGGATTACAATTCCTTCTCTGCAAACAGAATTAACGATAAATTGATTCAGGCTATTATTATGTAGAGTGTGATGTTATGTTAACGCCGTCCTACGCAGAAGTTGTTGCGTTGTGTTAACCTTACCTACGCAAGTCATTGCGTCGAACGACGAATCTACATTTGAAGTTAAGGAACCATAGAATGGCTCGTTTGGTGCTCATGTACGAACCAGATTGTTAAAATAATTTATTGGTGATAAATTAAAGTGATAATTTAAACGAATTTACTATTAAGTTAGATGTGATAAAACCAGGGGCGTCATTTCAGATTCTTATATTAATAAATGTCCAACCAATCAATAAAATTAATCATATATATATATATATATATATATATATATATATATATATATTTATATATTCTTCATCGATAGCATCATATTCTTCTTTGTCACTATTTACGATGCTAGTAAATAGATGTAAATAGTGACAAAGAAGAATATGATGCTATCGATGAAGAAAAGGAAACCAAAGAAGATGACCAGCCAATATATATATATATATACAATATATATATATATATATATATATATTTAATAAAGATCACGGCGTTTCTTACAGTACTCAATCTATATCATAGTTTCTCGATTCTTCGAATAATTCTCCGATCTACCAAGCTTAACTTGTTAATGCTATTAAAATTCCTTTTCACAGAAGATGTCATTATCTACATGTATGCATACATATAGTACTAATTCGACTACCTAGTCTCGTCGGTGCAACATTATAATAAATTTTACATTTTTAAAGATTTTAAAATTTCAAAATTTTCAAAGTTTTAAAATTACTAAATTATATATCCTATATATATCCTTTTTACAAAGAATTTAAAATTAACACTTTTATAATTTATAAGTTTAATTTTTTTCTTTGGTAATTCATTTCCAGCTGACATCTTTCTACAATATAATCCAAACTTTTATAAAATTTATTACAATATCCAGAAAAAATAGTTATTGTTATTTGACTTACCAACTTGATGATTTAAAATATTTTTTATATCATTGATAATTAATTTAATTTAATCATTTATTATTGATTAGTACTTTGATCAAATTTATTAACGAAACTGAAACAATTTGTATTCAAACTCACCTTCACTCTTTATCTTAAAAAATGATGTAAATTGATTTCCAGCTAAATCAAAATAACATTAATAACAGCGAAAGCGACAGTTAATATGGCGACAACACAACGGTTTTTTTTAAACAGAACATGAATTATTGTAGGAACAAATGAAATAAATTGTATAGCGCTTGAATTTAAAAATTCAAAAAGCACAATATTTTGTATATATGATTATAATAAATTATATAATTATTTTATAGTGTTTGCAATTTAGAATTTTGATTTCTTGGGGGGGGGGCAATTGCCCCCCCCCAAGAAATAATTTGAACACGCAAGAAATAATTTGAACACCCAAAATAATTTGAACACGCACTCACCCAAATTAACATTGCTTAACATAATACTATTTGCTTGCTGTTACGCATGGAGCGATTTATTTTATAACCGAAACAGCAGCCACACGAAACCACAACCACGTTAAACGTGTAAACAAGCCGCGCTTCCAGTAAGATATTCTGGCGCCATATTATTTACATACTCATGTAAGTACATTCATGTATGAATGATTCATTCATTCATCATAGCCAATCAAGTTTTTTCAGCTAAAATTGTTAGTCTTTTTGTCATTGTTAGGTTTTTACTAATCATTGACCTTATGATATTTGAAGAACGTAGAAACTTAATGTTGACAGTCACAAAATAATTTAAAATTTTTGGAAATTTCCAAGTTTTAAATCATGAAACGTCGCTTGAGTGTTTGGTGCTATTTTAAAAAATTACTTATCCAGAAACTTACAACATTTCATTCACATTTACACATTCACACACACACACACACACACACACGCAAACACACACAAACACACATATACACACGTCTTATTACAGCGTAGCAACTATGTGTAAGTCACACGCAGAAGAAAATGTGATAGAGAAGCAACTTTGAAAAGCTTTGAGTGCCTTCAAAACATCTTGAGTGCATCTGAGGCTATGATGGATCTATATTTTGCATGTACTGTGTTTGTGTATGTTGCTGTCGCATCCATATCCTCTGTGATGTGCACTGCGCTTGTCTGTAATTGCTGATACGTGTGCGTGTGCGTGCGTGCGTGATCTTGTTCATTAGGTATGTGAATTTTTTCATTTATCAACTTCATTCCTGTTGGTTTGTGTTGAAGTTTGAATGTTGTTTTTTGTTAGGCAGATGCCGTCAGTTGGTTTCATTATTTTCTTTGTTTTAACGCAAAAAAGTTTTGTCTAAATTAATTCAAAATTGAGTTAAAAACTGACCAATTTATATTCCAGTCATTTGAAATTAAATAAATTTTGACTCATAAAGTGGTTCCATGAATGAATGAATGAATGAATGAATGAATGAATGAATGAATGAATGAATGAATGAATGAATGAATGAACTAATGAACCAGACATAGAATTAGTAGGACGTTTGCATCCATTAAGTCCTGCAGATATTAATTTCTGTTGGGCAATGATACGATGATGACGATGATGATGCTGCAATATTGATTCAAAGGAATAAAATGAATTGTATATCGTGTGATGTGACCTGTGTCAAATTGAAAAATGAAGTTAAACCTTCTCCCACATTATATTATTAATATAATATAATTTATTATAATTTATATTACATTAATAATATATTATATATTGGGTGGCACGATGGTGTGTTGGTAGAAGCAGTGTCAGAATTTGATTGCAAAGATATCTCTGTCTATCGCATGTGTGTGTGTGTTTTGTTTGTGTGTGTGTTTGTTTGTTGTGTGTGTGTGTGTGTGACACGTGAGTCTACGTGCACTGTGTGTTTGTTATCGATACCTCGGAAAAATAATGGAGAGAATTGTAATAAATTATATATATATATATATATATATATATATATATATATATATTATAATTATATATATATATATATATATTATAATATATATTAAAGTTATATATATAAATATATATTCATTACATATTATATATATGTATATATATTATATGTTAACCATCTACATACATGTTTCATTATTTTCTTGCTTATGTGTTATTTATTTGCTGCCTATTTTTTAATTTATGAAATGAAATTCGTATGGATTATTATTAGTTTAGTAATTTATGATTTAATATAACAGAGTTGTCGAAAGGTCGTATCTTGAAACTGCATTGTTTGTTGTTGTTGCAGTTTATTTTATTTGGTTTCGTTTATGTCACTAGTTTATGTTCTAACATTTTCAATAATGTTAATACGAGCAATTTCTTGGTTAATCTGATGTAATTCAAGTGTATATTAATATTTCTTTTCAATCAGCTTGTGTCTGTAATGTTAGGATTGTTATACTTATGACTTTTTAATTTAAAAAAATGATTATCACCCTAGCCAGCCAC